TCGAACTACCTGCCTGTGGCTACACGCCGAGCTCCCATGCACAGGGGACAGCCACTCCCGGCATGGTCAGGAGAGTCACTAGCGCTGCGGGGCCCTGCGCTTCCCAAGTTAAGGATGTTAGCAAGGAGTCGACTACCAGTAAGCATAAGCTTACTCGCTCCCCTCCCCCACCCTTTGCTGCTTCATTATGACAGGCAGCAAGAGGGGTCAGGGGAAACTGGAGCCAGTGCTGGGGGAGCCAGCTTAGCACTCTGTTCCTACCAGCCCTGTCTCTGTGGTGCCACCTGCCCCCACTCCTGCTACCTCTAGTAAGAGCAGTGGGCGGGAGAGGGGAGGCTGCTGTCAGTCAGCCCCTTGTCTGCAGGGGTCCCAGCAGGGAGCTGGTCTCCCCCATGGACAGGGGCTGCTCCCACCAAGCAGCACCTGTTCACAGAGGCCCGCACTGGCTGTGAACAGGGATGGATGGACATTTCCCAGGAGCCCGCTTGTTCCGGGGCGGGACGGGTAGGAGGCCACCGAACATACGGGGCGGGAGAGAGACTCGAGAGTGTCTCAGTCCCCAGCTGTCGGGCCACACGCCGCGGTGAGTTCCCAGCGTTAGGCAGCCATGATTCCCCCGGTTCTGGCTGCCCCCCTCCGGGCTGCTAGCTTCTGTTGGGGGGGGCTCTTCCCCCCTCGTGGGTGCCAGTCACTCGTGGGCCCGCCCGGTGGGGTTTCAGGAGTAGATCCGATCTCTGAAGGGGTGGAGAGGGGGATGGGAGGGTAATGGAGCAGGTAATTGAGGAATTGATCTGCAAAGCCCTGGCCGATAAGAAGGTGACAGGCAGCTTCCATCAGGGATCATATATATAGTAACCCAAAGTCTGATTCTGTAACTGAAATGCTGGCTCTTGCCTCTGGGACCTGCTGTTGCCTCCTGACTATTGCGTCTGGGCGGTGCTGTACCTTGAGTCAGGTCCTTCGCCTCCGGACCTGGCGCTCGGCTGACTTCTGCGCTGCTCAGCGGCCGTCAAGCGGCTGTGCAGTCCCCATGTAGCATGCGGGACAACTTCCTGCCTGTCAGGGTGGTTAAACACTGGAATAAGTTGCCCAGGGAGGTTGTAGAAATTTGATCCCTGGAGGTTGGACAGACACCTGTCAGGGATGATTTAGATCATAGGTTCCTAACCTGGTGGGGGGAGGAAGAGATTCCAGGGGGGGAGAGGTGTCCCAGCCCCCCTCCACTTACCCCCCTCCCCCCCAGACCAAGAAAGAGCCTGGTCCATCAGGTAAAAAAAATTCTGAAAATACCATGTGAAAGGTCTGGTATTTTCTGTTTTTCCTGGCTCGGGTGTTCACTGGAACACATGCCTTTTTTTTTACACAGGTCCTGGGGTTTAAGGGTCCTTCACTGTTTTTTTTTTTTTTTTTAAGCGGGAGAGCATGAGGGTTTCTCAAAAATCAAAATGGGGGCGTGATGCTGAAAAGTTTGGGAACCACTGATCTAGATGGTGCTGGTTCCTGCCCCTAGGACAGGGGGCTGGACTCTATGGCCTCTCGAGATCCCATCTAATGCCAGTGTTCTGTGATTTAAGGGGTTTAATCACCTTGGTACCACTTCTGGTTGGGGTGGGGCTGCTGGGCTGGGACTGAGATGCCCCAAATCCTCCTTCCCCCACCCTTGACCTGTCCCATCTCAGCTTCCAGCTTGGCCGTGGGGTCTGAAGCAGGGAGGGAGTCGAGGCCAGGACCTGTCCAGCTGGAGCTTTGCTGCTGCTTCTGCATCAGCCCCATCACGCAGAGAAGAACTGAGCCTGGCTGAGAGACCATGGGGCCAGAAGCAGAGGGAGATGCTGAGAGCAAAGTGCCACTGCAGGAGCATGGTGAGGGCAGTGAACACTTGGAGTGGCAGTGAGCTGGTAATCGGGGGTGGGGTGGGGGGCAGGTGTCTGTGCCTGGGAATGGGCTGGAGAGAGACAGACTGATGGGGATGGGGGGGCAGGCTCCCAGTGGCAGCAACAATTTCCCAACCCCTGTCTGTGGGCAGCAGGGGCTGGGTCCCCCTGTTGCTTTCAAGGCTCCGATCCCTGGCTCCCTCTTGGCCTGACTCTGTCTCCCCCTTCATCCGTGGTGCTCGGGTGAGACCCCGTGTGCAGGGACGGGTGCTGGGTGCTGGGTGGGGGCTCCTGCCACCGGAACATGCGGGTCCTTATCTCTGTGCCCTGAGCTCACTGGCCTGGTGCCAGCCTGGCTGGCAGTGCTGGGCGGGGGAGGAGGGGAGAGGCTGTTCTGCCAGCCCCAGCCTGCCTGAGCCCCCGGGTGCCTCTCCCAGAACATCTGGTGGGAGGTGCAAGGGACAGAACAGGGCAAGTTCTAGGGCAGCCCCAGCATGGTGCTGTCAACGGCCCTGCCTGATGGGTCCCTCTGTTTCAGGGCATCGTTGTAACTGCAACAAGCGAACAGTCGCCCCCGGAGTCACCCTTGGAGTTGTGTTCTTAGGTCTCCTTGTCACTGTTATTGCCCTGGCAGGTGAGTTCTCAGCCTCCCCTCCCCCCACCCCCTCTCTGCACGTCCCTCCCCCTGGGGCTGCCCCAGTCACAGCGTCTCCTCCTGGCCTGTCCGACTCCTGCCCCTGGGACAGAGGCTTCCTGAGGGATGCTCCTGCCTCCTCCCAAAACCTGCCCAGGGCCAAGCTGGCAGGTGCCCATCACTGAAATGAGCCGTAGGGTGCAGCACAGACACCCCCATTAGCACTGTATGACACCCACCAGTGAGCAACCAGGGCAGCTGTTCCTGGTGAACATGGGCCCAGCTGTGTCTGCCCTTGGCCTGGGGAAGGGGTGTGGGGTGTGTGTGTGTGTTTGGGGGGGCATCTGTGAGAATGTCTGGGGTGGGGTTTATCTGTTGCTCTGGGGTCTGAGCACTGGCCCCCAGGTGGGCTCAGCAGCCGGCCGAGGGGGGTGAATCTACGTCTGTTTGCACGGGGGTGACTCTGGGCCCATGTGGCTCTTTTGGCAGAGCGGACTTGGTGCAAACTGCTGAGGTAGGTGGGCGGCAGTGGGGCAGGGCAGGCCCTGCTCTGGTGTGGCCACTGCAGTCAGTGACCAGAGCAGGACATGTGACCCCAGCGCATCTGTGCCAGGGGTTTGCACTGGTGTAACAGACCCACCATGGTTACAGTGCCGGCCACCCTGGTATAAGCCGGCTGTGAATGGGCCCCATTGGCTCACTCAGGGCATGGTGAGATTTGGGAGCTTGGGGTTCCACCCTATGGGTGCAGGGAGCCCCACAGCAGAGTGAGTGAGCCTCCCGCCAGGCATCTCCCTCGCCCTGCGTCTGGCTGCGCGGGGAGCTCTGGGCAGCGGGCACTCGGCCTGGCGAAGGGCAGGGAGTTTGTTCCCCCCCACCCCTCAGCCCCCTCCTGGGCAGCCCAGCGCAGAGCAGGGGAGGGGCAGCGGCCCAGGCGAGCAGGGCTCCTCTGCGAACCTGGCCTGGCCGACCCCGCTGAACCCGCCTCTTACCCAGTGTCGCTCTCCTGCCTGCTGCTAGCCCTGACCACGGCTCCCCATCAGCTGCTGTGAATGAGCCAACTTTTATACCCCTGTCCTCTGGAAAAACTTAAATGACTAGTCCTGCAGCACCTTGGAGATTAACAAAACATGTAGATGGTCTCATGAGCTTTCATGGGCACCATCTGAGAAGTGGGTTGTCCCCACAACAGCTCATGAGAGCCTCTAAAGTGCTTCAGGACTGTCCATTGTTTTTTAAAGTTTTTTCAGTTGCTTTCATCTGTTATTCACCTTTTTGTCACACATTCAACAGAGGGATACCTTTGTGCCTGGGCTGCTCTGAGCTGTCCCTGCCCCCGGGCTGGGCGTGTCCCTTCCCGCCCTGCAAACATCTCCCGCCAGGCGTCTTCCTCACCCTGCATCTGGCTGCGCTGGGAGCTCCGGGCAGCGGGCACTCAGCCTGGAGAAGGGCAGGGAGTTTGTTCCATCCTCCCCTCAGCCCCCTCCTGGGCAGCCCAGCAGCCCAGGCGAGTGGAGCAACTTGGGGAACTGGCTGGGAGGCACCCTGCTGACCTCTCAGAATCAAAGCTTTTCCATTTTTCAGCCACAATATTTCAGGTGTAGTTGGATTCCTGACCTTGGCCCCCGCCCCCTGCCCTGCTCACCTCCTGCTCTGACCCGCAGCCTGGGGGGCTTAGACACACGAGCCCTTGGTCATCTGCTTCCCTGTTGAACGTGAACTGAGACAGTGGCCCAGTGAGACCAGAGACAGGTAACGCCCTTGGGGGCTGGATTCCCAGCATTCCCCTGGCTCCTTCATGTCCCCTCTTCCTGCCCTCCCCTGCACTGCCAAGGTCAGAGGAGTCTCAGCAGCCTGGGGCGCAGGTCCCCTCTCACTCCACCTGTTCTTGTCTCATTTCAGTGTCGTTATCTGGCCGCTCTCCAGCTGTGCAGGGCCCCGCGTGCCCGGACACCTGGGTGGGCTACTAGGGGAAATGCTTCTATTTCTCCGAGGGGGAAGGGAACTGGACCTACAGCCGGAGCCGCTGCTCTGCCCTGGGGGCTTCCCTGGCTGGGATCGACAACAAGCAGGAAATGGTGAGAGACTCATCACACTGGCCAGGCCTGGGCTCTGCCCTGCGTGGGAGGAGCAGCCCAGAGCCAATGGACTTTCCAGCCACTGACTGCCCGGCCGGGCTGGGCCCAGGCCCCTCTGGTGTCAGTGACCGGTGGAGGGGGGGAGAGGATCAGCCACTGTCAGGCCTCTCAGCAGGAGACGCCCCTCTGGGGCTGGGCTGCCCCAGTGTCTGCTGGGCTGCCTGGGGCTGGAGGGGGCTGAGACCCCAGAGCGGCTGGAAGGGCCAGTGCCCCTGGGTAGGGGAAGAGCAGCCAGCTGAGGGTGGGGGAAGGGTCCTCTTAGGCCTGGCCCCTCCCAGCATCCCTTGCACTGATCAGCTGGGCTTTTCCTTTCCCTTCCCTGGGGAGGGCTGGAGGAAGCACAGCTGCCTGTCAGGTGAGGGTTTCACACAGAGCCTGGCCCGGCATGGGAGGTTGGGGGAGCTTGGACCCAGCAGTTCCCAAGAGCAGCCCCAGCCCTGGGGAGGTCGGGGTGGGGGGAGCTGGATTTGGTGGGGGGGTTAATACTGAATTACCTAGAGTTGGGCAAGGGGGAGGGGCAAATCCCCAGCCACCCCCTGGGAACACTCAGACCCCTTTGTGCTCCCCTGGGATTCCCTGCCCAGAGCTGGGGAGCAGCAGGGTCAGGCCCTGACACCCCCCCTCCCCCTCCGCTCTTCTAGGATTTCCTGCTGCGCTACAAAGGCAAATTCGACCACTGGATCAGCCTCTGGAGGGACCCAGGACAGCCCTGGAAATGGGCCAATGGCACCGAATTCAACAACTGGTGAGTCTTTGCCCCCCTCCCCTCTCTGTGAGCTCCCTGGGCTTTGGGTCCCCGGTGTGTGAGGTGCCCAGTTCAGGCCGAGCCGCCAGCTGGTGCTGTGGGAGCAGCCCGAGAGCGCTCGGGGGGCAATCCCCCTGAGAAGGAGGGCAGTGCTGTCATCCCCCTTTTGTAGATGGGAACTGGGGCACAGGGTCATCCCAGGAAGTCTATGGAAGAGCAGGATTACCCATTCCTCAGCCTGGTGCCCCAACCATTGAACTTCATTATCTTGCCTTTCACCTGTGTGAATGGGTGAGTACAATTTTTTTTCTCAGATAGAACATCCCAGCACTGTGTGATGCTGGAGTCAGAAGATAAAGAGCCTGCATCTCACATGTTGAGTTCTCAGGGGAGCGAGGGTTTATTTATCTGTTCTACTTTTAATATTTTACTTTTAAATCAATGTGACAGTCGCTGGGATGTTGTGCTCTATAAATCAACAATAAAATACAGGTTTTGCCTTGTAATGCAGAGAGGCTGGTGTAACAGTTTCCTGGGTAGAAGAGGTTTAATCGTCCTGACACTGAGCAACTTCTATAGCAATTCCTACCTACTCTGTACTAGGGATGCTAAATATCAGTTAACTAGCCAATTAGCCCATCATAAGATGGGATTTTCAGGTCTCTCCTCCACGTTGGTCTTCTCTCCTGAGCCTCTGGTCTCTCCCTCTGTGTCTTTCTCTCTCTCCTCCTCCTACTGCCTCCCTCCCTCTCTCTCAGCTCTCCGCCGCCTTCTGCCTCTCTCTCCGTCTCTCTCTTTCTCTTCTCCCCCTCCTGCCTCTCACTCTATCTCCGGTCTCCTCTGTCTCCGTTGGGGATGCACACTCGTCCAGGCCCCGCCCCCTGGCCGTGTACATCACTGCCCCACCCCTCCTCTCTTCCCCTGCGGCCGGCCCCTACAGCCCCTGATCCTCTCCCAGCTCCGCTTCCCACCCCCCTTCTGGCCAGCCCCACTCCCTTCCCCTCCCTGCGTGGTGCCCTGCCCCGCCCTCCTTCACTTTCCTCCGTGGCACGCTGTGCAGCCCCCAGCTGAGCGGAGCTCCCTCCGGGCCCCGGCGGGGGAGCAAGTGGTGGCAAGTGGTCCACCCAGAGCCAGAGGCTGGAGGTCTGGGGGTGGGGAGATCCCAGCCTGCCCAGAGTGGTGCTGGGCCTCCTCCCAGCCCAGCACCTGCCACTGAGTAGTCAGATGGGTCAGTGGGGGAGGATTTGCCTGTGGGCCGGGATCCCGCCCTGTGCCCTGGTGGGTTGTGCTGGGTCCAGCTCTGGTGGGAAGCTGGGTGTGAGCGGCTGGGTCACGCCATGGCCCCGGGGTCTGTGCTGCTGCCGTTTAGCTCCAGCCTCCCCAGCACAGCCTGGTCTGCTGGGCGCCTGGCCTGAGAGCTGATGTCAAGTGCCTGGGGAGCCTTGACCCCAGCTCTCCTGTGCGGTGTCACTGCTGTTCCCCTGGAGCCAATGCTCAGGGCAGTTTGGGTGCTGGGGCAGCTGGGTGGGGAGCAGGAACTGGGGTTAAAACATCCCCTCGGCGTAAATGCTTCAGGGAGGCCAGTTCCTCTTAGAACCTCGCCTGGCCCCACTGCCCCCTGTGGAACTGCCCCCTTCGGCTGGGGGCAGGACTGGCGCCTGCTGCGGGTGCAGGAAGGGATCTGAGGGGCTGGGAATGTGCGAGTGTCGCCCCCTGTCTGTGACCAACGGGAAACACCCGGCTCCTGCCTCACACCCGCTCCCTGGCTTCTGCCCTGCAGGTTCGGGATCGGAGGTGATGGTGGCTGTGTGTATCTGAACGAGAACAGGGTCAGCAG